TGTGTGTGTGGAGAGTGCGCGCTGAGCCCGCACCCCCCCCATAAGTTAAAGAGAGAGCGCCTGCATACGCGCACCTACGTGTGTTTTAAAGAGAGTTTCCCGTGCGCCCCCACACATGTGTGTGATGACAGCGAGTCCAGGCGCGACCGCTCACATGTGTGTGAGAACAGATAGTCCACGCGAGCGCTCACACACATGTGTGTGATGAGAGCTAGTCCAGATGAGAGCTCACACATGTGTGAGATGACAGAGAGTCCACGCGAGAGCGCACACATATGTGTGGTGACAGATAGTGCAGGTGTGCCGCACACATGTGTGAGTTAAGAGCGAGTCCAGGGGAGCCTCACAGGTGTGTGAGGTGACAGCTGGTCCATGAGAGCTCACAGATGTGTGTGAGGTGAGAGCTGGTCCAGGTGAGCCCGCACAGGTGTGTGAGGTGAGAGCTGGTCCAGGTGAGCCCGCACAGGTGTGTGAGGTGAGAGCTGGTCCAGGTGAGCACGCACAGGTGTGTGTGAGGTGACAGCTGGTCCAGGTGAGCACGCACAGGTGTGTGAGGTGACAGCCGGTCCAGGTGAGCCCGCACAGGTGTGTGAGGTGAGAGCTGGTCCAGGTGAACCCGCACAGGTGTGTGAGGTGACAGCTGGTCCAGGTGAGCCCGCACAGGTGTGTGTGAGGTGACAGCTGGTCCAGGTGAGCCCGCACAGGTCTGTGAGGTGACAGCTGGTCCTCCCTGAAATTCTGGCCTCTGACCGCACCCCTACTTATCACGAGCAGTGATCCACCCTCTGCACACTTTCGCAGGGTCTCAGCACGGCCAGGCGTTCTGCCGGTGACCCCACACTGCACTGCCCGGCAAGAGGTCAGTGGTTCCTGAGGGCTTCTCATGTCAGTTGCTGAGATGATAAGAAGGCTCTGACCTGTTCCTACGAGAAATCTCTGGGTGGTTTTTTACTTGCCAATACTTGGCTAAATGATGAAATACATATTCTCAAACTAATTCTTTAGTTGGGCTAGAGGGGCGGGAACAAAATCACCACAGAGAGCTTCAAGACTTGGCCGTGGGCAGACAACATGCCCCTTCCTTCCCGCACCCTCGCTGCCCTCCATCACCCACTCCTGTCCGTCCTCTCTCTGTCATCACAGCACACGCGAGGCTCTCCCCAGACCGCTGCTGCACAGTGATAGATCAGAAGGGAGGAAGACTCAGTCCAACAGGACAACAGAAATGATAGCGGAGCTGAGTGGGCAAGGTGTCCGGCGCATAACAAATCCTCCCAGGCAGACAAATCAATTCATTCACAAGCTTTTATTGGGATTGCGCTCCCGGGCGAGGTTCCCCAGTCCTGGACACCTTGCAGATGATGCCGAGACCCGGGAGCTGAGGGTTGGCACCTCCCCTTTCCGGGTTCGAGGCCCCCTCGCTCCTTGAACCTGTCTGGTGCCCCAGGCTGACTACGGACCATGCTCGACCAATTGTAAGTAACTCCTCCCCTGCTGTCCCTGTCTCCTCTGGGTTGGCCCAGTCTCTGCGATCTCCGGCTAGCTCTCTGTTGGACAGAGACCACCAAATTGTGCGCACGTGGGCTCTGTCCTCCACTGTTTAGCCTCCCAGCGGCTGTTGGAGATGTCCCACCGCTGGCTTGGCCCCGTAGAAGACTGACCTCTAATCCATCTACTGAAGTCCGGGACAGGGGACACCTTGACCGAATTTCAGTAGATCCGGACTGCCGGGGAGACCATGGGATCTGGCCAATCCCGAGGGTGGGACTCAACATGCCCTCTGGCCTGCCTCCTAAAGAACTTGAAGTAAAAGCCTAATCTACTCCACCCAGGCATGGCCTAGTTATGCACTTGACAATGGATCTAAGTGGCCCCCTGGGGGAACCTTTGACCCCAATGTCCTCACCGACCTTGAGAATTTCTGCCACAGGGAGAGAGAATGGTCAGAGGTCCCACATGTCCAGGCTTTCTGGGACCTCTGCTCCCGACCTACTCCCTTCTCCACTATTGCTGGAAGGCAGGTCATGGCCCAACCACTGGTGTCAAGCTCCATCCCCATCCTAATGGGATTCGCTGCTCCTGCTTCCCTGCCCACCCTCCAGGAAAGCTTTAAAGTGAAAACATAGTTTTCCTCACGGGCATTGTCTACCTCAGAAAAAGTACTCCGGTTGCTCCTCTTCCAGGCCAACTCTCTGCTGTGGCCCGGGAGTGCAGTGGAGGATGGCCCAAGTCCTTGGGCCCTGCACCCCATGGGAGACCAGGAAAAGCATCTGGCTCCTGGCTCCTGCCACCGGATCAGTGCAGCGCGCCGGCCGCGGCGGCCATTGGAGGGTGAACCAACGGCAAAGGAAGACCTTTCTCTCTGTCTCTCTCTCTCACTGTCCACTCTACCTGTCAAAAAAAAAAAAAAAAAAAGAAAAGAAAAAAGAAAAAGCACTATCAGAACATGCCTGTGGCTATAGACTTCTAGTTTAGGCCACAAAGATCAGAAATGGGACGTGAGCATCCCCTTGACTTGCATCCTCTGCTCTGCTTTAACAAAACCCAGGAGGAAAGGGAAGCTAGGCATCAGAAGCAATGTAAAGATAGGTGGCAGTCCTATTAAATGTAGCTCTGTACAGTGATCTGCCCTCAAGGAGACCCACAGGCCAGTCAATGTGGTAAGCCTGGGCTTCAGCAGAAGTCAGCTCATGAAGAGCCCTGGCAGCTCTGCCAAGAGTTGGATCCCTGGAAGTGGATCTGCCCTGGAGTTGAAGGACGCCCAGGTCAGAGCCACAGATCTTAATGGCTCCAAGCTGAAAAGCCCTTCACTCAGCCCAGCTTCCAAAGTGACCACTGCTGCTGAGGGGACGGCCAAGTAGGGTCAGCAACACTGCAGGCAGAACTGTAAATTTCCTGTTAGAGATGCCACCTGCCTTTACCTGGCCAGCTCTCCTCCCAGGCCAGCTGGGTAATGGAAGTGAAGAGGGTGCCTTCCCCAAGGAGGTTCACACCTCCCTTAGGATGTACCCTATGAAGAGATAGGTACGTCTGGGCCTCTTATCTTACAAGGCCTAAAGCCCACCTGATTATTCTCAAGCCCCTTCTGTCAGGTTCTATTTGCCTCTCAATCAGAAAACTTATTTGTAGCTAAGACAGCACCTTTCTTGGGTCCTCTAATAATGGCTCTGTCCTTTGTTCTAGACCCTGTCTAGCCCACTTGGGCCTCATTCCTTTGTAATCATAACCTCTACTCTAACATCAATGGCTCTACTCCCAACCTGTGTGTACTGATGGTCCTCTCCTCCACTTAATGTTGTATGATTATTCAGAATTTCTCTACAGACAAACCCCTCTCTCTGCAAAAGTTGAGTGGCCTTTCTCCCGGTCTTAGATGGGATCAGATTTAAACCACATCCATCAAACAGTCCTCACAAGGGTCCAGAGACCCCCCTCATTTCCTCTCCTCTATGAAATCCTTTCATTACCTGGTTAATGTCACTCTTAGGATCATTGGTTACTATTCTCACCCTGATTTGTATACTACAGTGTCTGTTTAAGTGTTTACAGCAGGTGATAATGGAAAGAACCAAGGCCTTCACAACCAGGCGGTCAACCAAATGCTGCTACAGGGATATATTTGGCTCCCCACCCAGGAGACAGCAGCTTGAGACATCGGCCCATGCCAGCGAAGAGTACCGTATTGTCCCCAATCAGCAGGAAGTAGCCAGAGAGACTAATCATCGCCCCCTTTCCTATCATCAAAAGGTCGGGATGGTAGCTTTGGGATCCACAGAGAAGGCTTACACTTCCAGGAATGGAGAGGCCCTACCCACACTTCCGGGAACGAAAAGTCCTTGTCAAGGTCCCTGCGGGTGTCTAAAGGTCAACCAATGAGGATCAGACCTGCCTCAACCTTTAACCCTCACACCCTGTATCTATAAAAGGAGCCCTCCCAACCTCTGACGCGACTTCCCTGGCCCCTGCTCTGTTGGGACCGGGGAACCTCGCCCGGAGCAGAATCCCAATAAAAGCTTGTGAATTAATTGATTCATCTGCCTGGGAAGAGTTGTTATGTGCTGGACACCTTGCAGAGTGGAGTAGGTTCTTGTCCAAGCAAGAAAGAATTCAGATGTGAGACAAAGAGGAGTGGTCGGCAAGGTGGCAAGGTTAAATAAGAGGAGGAATCTAATCCGGGTACAAATTCAAATATTCACATAAAGGTGTAAATTTCCCCTAAACTGGTTGATGGGCTTGAAGCAATGCATTCAGTCATTAGATCTATAAGCTCCTTAGATGGGAACAGAAAAAGCCAAGCACACCAGCAAGAGTAAGGTGGGAGCTCCTTCACTTCCAGACACCAAGAGCTGTGGTCATGTATTATAAAGCTGCATTGATTAAGACAGTGCAAGAATAGAAACTAGACCAAGGAAGCGGAACGGAAAGTCCAGAAATAGAGCCATGTACTTATGGGCACTTGATTGATGATGGAGAGGGTGTCGTAGGGCAGTTGGGAAGGAACAGTCAATTAAGAAATAGTGCTGCATCAACTGATGGCCACACAGAAGAAAGTAAAACCCGACTCCTTCCTCCCAGCACACCCAGAAGTCATTCATAGGAGCCCTGGATTTAAATACGAAGTGTGAAACAAGACGGCAACCTTGAAAATGAAGAGTTGACCTTTGTATCCTTGGAGAAGACAGTTTTCTTCAACAGGATTCGAAATCATTAGTTGTAAAGACTGAGAAATTTTATTACTTAAAAATGAAGTTCTGTTCATCACAAGATGCTATTAAGAAAGTCGGGAGAACAGCTACAGCGTACAAGAAGAGAGTTACAACATGGATGACTGACAAAGATCCCTTATTCGGGATGCATTAAAATCTCCTTCCTGGGGTGGATGGTGGGGCACCGTGGGGGAAGCCATTGCTGGGGATGTTTTATCCCATACTGGAATGCCTAGGGTCAAGTCCTGCCTCTGCTTCTCCTACAGGTTTCTGCTACTGTGCATCCTGGGGCAGCAGTTGATGGCTCAGGTACTTGGGTCCCCACCCAAGACTGCTACTGAGTTCCTAGCTACAGGCTTCAGGCTGGCCCAGCCCAGCTGTTGTGGACATTTGGAGAGCGAACCACTGGATGGAATCTCTCTCTCTCTCTCTCTCTGCCTTTTGGACAAAATAAAGATAACTATTTAAGACATATATCCTTCAAATCAGAAAGAAAAAGTCAACCTCAAAGAAAATGGGAAAAACTTGGACAGGTGCTTGACCAAAGGGAATACCCGCATCACCAGCAAGCATGGGAAGGCACGGTCAACCTCATCGGCACATGTCCATCGGATGGCTGATGCACCAAGGACCAATCCACCAGCTGTGGCAGGCATGGAGGGTGAGGGGCTCAGAGACTCCTGGACACATTTTGATGGAGTAGAAGGTGTGCGTAACCTGTGATCCAGTAATTCCACACCAAGGCGAATACATTCCCAGGCGCGATGCAGACACTCGAGGGCTGAAACACCTACGGTGACTTTCCCAACAGCAGTGGGTGTAACAGCAAACAGTCGCAAACAGGGTGAAGTTCATCTGCCACAGAAGAAGCAAATTGCGGTATATTAGTACCAGAAGTCATCACTCAACAGTGGAAACGCAATCAATGTAAAAACAGCAGCAAATATCCCAAAGTCAGTTTTAACCCAGAGAAGTCAGGTATCAAAGATCAGCTATGCTAAGGTTCCACTGCGCGATCTAGGTGTTCTAAGCCAAGGTTCTGGAGCTGGGACGGGGGCGAGGGCACTTTGAAGGAATGGGCTGTGTTCGCTTTGCTTTTGGGGGAGGGGTCATTGCATGGGGGTGTTCTCTTTGGGGGAGTCAGTGCCTTTTTGTGTATTCAAGCTATTTAATAAAACGCTGCAAGGGAAAATTCTTCATCACAATGCCTCCATCTGTTAGCCACGGGAAAACTCTAGATCGCTCCTGCAAAACAACAGATTCTAGGCTCTCCTAGCCCAGTGCTGATTTTAAAGCCAAATCCTCTTTGTTCAGTGTACCCAGAACTGGAATTGGCTCCAGCCTTGGTTTATGAAGAAGACTTCAGGGCGACTATCAAAGAAACACGTCTGGGTACGGGCAGCATAAATGCTAGTGGTTTGCATTCCTTAAAAACTCTTTACTGTGTTTTTTTCCCCACATTGGTCTGTTTTCCTTCCTTTATTATGAGGACAGCTCCTATAGTTTAGTACACTTTATAACAATAACAACAACAAAAACCAACACACTTTATCATGCCACTGCTATGACAGGTTTGATAAACATTGCCAAATATTTGGCAATGTAAGAATCAATTATCTAATGGCAAGAATCAATTACATAATTCAGTTTGATTCCAGAAAGAGGGCATGTTCTGGAGGAAGGTGAGTGGATTAAAGAGTACGCTGGCCAGAGGTGCTGTGGGCCGACAGCCCGTTCCCAAAGCTGGAGCAGAGATGTCTCACGTGGGGACTGCTGTCGGACTGGTAAGCATTATGGCCTTAAGCAGCATTATTTTTAAAAAACAAGACTTTATTTTATTTTTTCAAATTTGTATTTGTTTACCTAAAAGAGATTAAGACAGGGAGAGGGAGAGAGAGGGAGAGAGAGAGAGAGAGAGAGAGAGATTGCAAGCGCGCAGGTGTTCCCTACTGCTGGTTCACTCCCCAGATGCTTGCAACAGCCAAGGCTGAGCCAGGCCAAAGCCAGAAGAGAGGAACCCAGTCCAGGCTCAGGACCCAACCTGAGCCCTCAGCTGCAGCTCAGTGGCAGGAAGCTGTAACGGGGAGCGTTGGAGCCAGGACTGAAACCCAGGCACTCTGTTATGGGGCGTGAGCCGCCCAAGCACCTGCTTAACCTCCGTGCCAGATGCGTGCCCCCCATGTTAAGCTGTGTCCTTAGAACCCAGCATCTGGGCAATGGGGAGATCACGCTTCCAGCTGTGAGATGAATGTGTCCTGAAGACCTAAGGCACAGTGCGGCGAGTGTAGGAATGATACTGGATATGCGCTTTTGAGGGGTGATCTATTAGATGTCATACTTAGGTATTCTCACTGTACACACTCACAAAAGGAGTGTGTACTCACATGTGGAGCGAAGGGTATGGTAACCAGCTTGATTGTGGCCATCATTTCCCAGTGTATATGAGGCTGTCCAGCGGGGCTGGAGTCTGTACATAGAATGTCTTTCACAAGCTGTGGCTGGAAATCTTGTCTCCAGACTGGCCGGCGTCTCCCCCACTAATAGCTTCTTGTGCTGCACGTGTGACCTTGTGAGTTTAAACCAGGCCTTCAAGTTAGCTGCAATCTTCCACCCAAAGCTGGCAGAGGAGGGGGCTGAGCCCCTAAGGAGGTAGGCTGTCTCCAAGAAACCCCCACTATCTCCATGAGCCCCAAGCCAATCAACATACAGTTTGTGAAACCCCATGTCCAGTGGGCACCCCTATAGAATGCCTTAAAAACCCTGGACACTTCCTCAAAGCCAGTACCCCGTTTGGGTACTCTGCCTGGTCGCCTCTCAGCTTGTTCTGTTGCTTGCCAATCAGAGAAAAGTAGCATCATCAACACTGTACAACCTGAATATGTACAATGTTTATTGGTTGATCAGGTCTCCATGAGGTTGGAAAACAAAACACAAGCACCGAGCAGGCAACATCTGTCACTTAAATCCCAAAGAATGAAAATAGCTACACTTTTTTTTTTTTTTTGACAGGCAGAGTGGATAGTGAGAGAGAGACAGAGAGAAAGGTCTTCCTTTTGCTGTTGGTTCACCCTCCAATGGCCGCCACGGCTGGCGCTCTGCGGCCAGCGCACCGCGCTGATCCGAAGGCAGGAGCCAGGTGCTTCTCCTGGTCTCCCATGGGGTGCAGGGCCCAAGCACCTGGGCCATCCTCCACTGCCTTCCCGGGCCACAGCAGAGAGCTGGCCTGGAAGAGGGGCAACCGGGACAGAATCCGGCGCCACAATAGCTACACTTTTTAAAACACTCATTATACGTGGGGCACTGTTAAATGCATATGTGCACATAGGGCACTGGTATGCATCCTTTTGACATGCACCCCTATTTTGCAGAAGAGGAAATTGGGGTTTACAGAGCCTGAGGCTGTCCCACCAAGGAAAATAGAGCTGGACCTAAATCCAGGTCATTAGATTCCAAAGGCCATCTCCCAGGATGTCCTGTCCCCTTGCCTAGTACTCTGTGCTGGCCAAGAGCAGTGGCCTTGCTGCTCTGGGTGGGTGTAGGGACTTATCTCAACATGACTCCCTTGAATGAGTTACTTCAGCAAACAACACTGTTCATCTCTCCTCTTATCTCACCCTCCCAAACACAGCATTCCTGGGATCCTCCAGGACTGCAATTCGCAACTTTACCCAAGAAAACAACTCTTATTAAACCAAGTAATATTGCTGTAGCCCCAACCACAGCCAGATTCATTTCAGTACATTCTGTTGGTGGCCCGAGGCTCCCTAAGGGTCTGATAGCCCTACGATACGAAGGTACAGCCCCAAAGCCCAAGAACAAATTGTTCTTTGCCAGCCGTGACCTTAATGACTGGACAGAAGGCTTGTCCTGGGAAGGCTGGGGTGCTCTGCAAGATCTCACGCTTCCCTGAGGGTCTGACTGCCGCAGGCCCGAGAGAGCTCTTCTCAGAGGCCCTTCCCTCACCTGTGCTTACCTCTGAGGGCTGAGGAGCCGAAGGGTGACTTCAGTTCTTGGGAGGATTTGTGTTCACTCCGTGCCTGGGAAGGAGCATGGGCTCCCAGGAACCTGTAGTTTCCTGAAGTCAGTTCCATTTGCCTAAACCTGAGCCATCCACCCATCTACCCACCCACCCACCTACCCATCCATCTATACATCGTTCCTTCCTTCCTTCCTTCCTTCCTTCCTTCCTTCCTTCCTTCCTTCCTTCCATCCATCCATCCACCCATTCATCCATCCAACGAATCCATCCATCCATCCATCTACCCACCCACCCACCCCCCATCTACTCATCCATCCATCCATCCATCCACCCACCACCTATCCATCCATCCACCCATTCATCCATCCAACAAATCCATCCATTTATCCATCCATCCACCCATCCACCCATCCAACAAATTTGCATGCCTGCTGTGAGACAGGTCCTCTTCAGGGTGCCTGGTGTCCTTTGGAGAATCAAACAGATGTTCCTAGTGGAGTAGAGGGGATTTTTCATGGCAAGGGAACAAAAACAAATGATAATTATAGTAAATGATACAATATGTTAGACGTTGGTACTTACAGAAAGATGAAAAGAAGTCTCGGGACGGAGTTTCTGCAGTGCTGGGGGTGAGTAGGTTGGCATGTGGTTCGGGTGGTCCGTGCTGGCCTTACAGAGAAGGTGATGCTTGAGCAGAGACCTGGGGAGGTGCGGGAGATCCCCAGGTGGGCAAACAACTGAGCCACGTGCACTGGGGGAAGGAGGCCAGGCAGGTTAGGACCAAGGCTCTGCAGCAGGAGCACCGGGCTGTGGGAAGGCATGGCCTTGAGACAGAGCAGGAGCACAGGGCTGTGGGAAGGCATGGTCTTGAGACAGAGCAGGAGGACAGCTGAGGTTGGAGAGGGTGGACGTGGTGCTGGACTGTGGGGGCTTTGCGGGTGGGTGAGGACTCCTGGTTGTTAGGCTGAGTAGCAAGAGGTGGCTGCACGATGCAGCGAGGCAAGTGGTGCTACTGGTGCGACCCAGGTGGGAGCAAAGGACTTGCTGCCGGATCGGATGTGGGGCGTGAGGGAACAGAGGGATCGAGGAGGAACGCAGAGTCAGGCTGCAGGGTGGAACGACCTGGGAGTGTAGCCAAGATTCAGGCTGAAGGTTCACCTTGACTTGGACATGTTGAAATTGAGACACCCATTACTTATCTACATGGCAATGGGGTGTAGGCAGCAGGAGCCCGGATTTCAGAATGAGATTTAGGCTAGAGATCAAATTCTTGCAGGAAGCAGCATACAGATAGCATGTAAAGCCACAAAACTGGTTGCTATCATTTTAGAATCAGCAGATTTGAAACACAGCACAGCCCCGCTAACTCTGAATTCAGATAAATAGTAATTTAGCATAGGCATGTTTGCTGAAGGTATGTTAAGTGGTTTTAGCATAAATGTTTCATGAAATATTTACCTGTTAACCAAGTAAATATTTGGGGCCATGTGCTATCTGGCAAACACTGAATGCTACAAAACATGATATGCTGTTTACCCCAAATTCAACTGAGTTTTGTATTGTTCTCCACTAAGTGTGGCAACACCTCTTTGGGAGAGAAGAGAGCTGAGGACTAACCTGGGTTCCATAGCCAGGTGGGGAGAGGGAGAAGCGGAGAGATTGAATCCTGGAGGCATGGGCAGGGAGGGTCCTGGAGGGTGGGCAGGGGCAGGGACTTGGAGGAGTGGTCAGGGGCAGGGTCCTGGAGGCGTGGCCAGGAAGGGTGGCACAGAGCCGGAAGAGACCCTCAGGTCTCAGGCAAGGCCGACTGTGGGGTTTGGCACTGTGGAAGCCACTGGTGACCTGGACAGGGCCTCCCAGTGCCTAGCGCTTGGCAGTGCGGAGTGCAGTCCAGCCTTTCCTACCTCAGGGTCCTGCAGTGCCTGGAACTCACGCCTCCACACCTGGCTGAGGTGAGCGTCCGAGAGCACTGCAGCTCACAAGAACATTCTGCTTTGCTTGGACAGCCTGGAGTTCTTCCTGGTCCCCTGTCTGAACCCCACGGCTGGGCTTTTCCACTAGACTAGGAGCTAGTGAGCGCCTGTGCACACACTGCAAATTGTCAGGGCTGATCCAACACTGTCAAACAATATTCACTTGTTGGGCTGCTCCACTTCTGCTCCAGCTCTCCGCTGAGTCCTGGGAAAGCAGTAGAGAACAGCCCAAGTGCTTGGGCCCCTGCCACCCATGTGGGAGACCCAGAAGAAGCTCCTGGCTTCAGATCAACCGGCTCTGGCCATTGTGGCCATTTGGGGAGTGAACCAGCGATGGAAGATCTCTCTCCCTCTCTCTCTTTCTTTCTCTCCCTCTCTCTGCCTCTCTGTAACTCTGCCTTTCAGATAAAATAAATAAAATCTTCAAAAATATATTCACTTGCAGTATTCTAAGTCTATAAGCCAAATTCTTAAATCTAAGTTTTTTGTTTTTGCAAGTTAGCCCTCCCTCCTGCCTGGGAAAACCGCATGAGACGGCTTTGAAAGGTAATCTGCAAAGATCTCTGGAAGTTGGTTACTGCGCGACTTCATTGATTTATGAGGCTTTCGTGTCCTGCACACATCATCAGATAGGAAGGCCTGTTTGGCCGTGCGGCTGGCTTTTTAAAAGATAAACATGACTGCATTAAACGAAATGAAAAAACACTGCGTATTCGTAAGACGTTTGAAAGCTTCACCGGCTGTCGCCCTGTAGGGAAGCGGAGGTGGCTTGTGTTCCCGTTCTGTCATCCGGGTATTTTGGAATAAGTGCCGTTCACATTTTATCACCTTCCCAGGTCTCCCAGACCTGAGAACACCCCAGAACCACCCGCACAGCTTCTTGAATCAGAGTTCCGGAGGCGGGAGGTCTGGGTGGGGCCTGGAACTTCACGGTCCTGCCGAGTGCCCGGGCAGGGCACCTGGAGGGAGCGTCCTTATCCTTTTAAAGAGCCTTCCCACACAGGACCGTGCAGGTGCCTGGAGGAGCGTCCCCTCCATTTACAGGGGAGGAAGCCGGGATGCGGACGAGCAGGCGTCAGGGGCCACCCAGGCCCAGAGCCCGGCGTCCACGTCGAGCTCCTGGGTTCCAGAGTGGCCCTGAGAGTTCCCTCCACCCATTCTGGACACAGAGGGACTTACACGGTCCTCGCACCGAAGTCAAAGGGGAACAGCTGATTTTAAATTGCCAATTCCATGAGTTCCATTCTCCTTTAGAAAACACACAGAAAGGAGCTTAAATCAGAAACAGAAGGATAAAGCAACCTTTGTAAGTTTCAGAAACGCTCTTGTTGGGGCCGACATTGTGGTACAGCAGGTTAAGCCGCCTCCTGTGTCACTGACATCCTATGTGAGGGCCAGTTCGAGTCCCAGCTGCTCCACTTCTGATGCAGCTCCCTGCTAATGTACCTGGGAAGGCACTGGGGGATGGTTCAAGTGCTTGGGCCCCTATCACCCATGTGAGACCAGGATGGAGTTCCATGCTTCTGGCTTTGGCCTGGCGCAACCCCAGCTGTTGCAGCCATTTGGGGAGTGAACCAGAAGATGGAAGCATTCTCTCTCTCACTCACTGTAACTCTGCCTTTCAAATAAATAAATAATTCTTAAAAACAAACAAACAAAAAGGGGCCAGTGCTGTGGCATAGCGAGTAAAGCAGCCGCCTGCAGTGCTGGCATCCCATGTGGGCGCCGGTTCGAGTCCTGGCTGCTCCACTTCTGATGCAGCTCCCTGCTAATGCACCTGGGAAGGCACTGGGGGATGGTTCAAGTCCTTGGGCCCCTGCACCCATGTGGGAGACTGGGAAGAAGCTCCTGGCTCCTGGCTTCAGATTGGCGCAGCTCCAGCTGTTGTGGCCATGTTGTGGGGCGAATCGGTGGATGGAAGACCTCTCTCTCTTTCTCTGCCTCTGCCTTTCTGGAACTCTGCCTTTAAACAAATTAATAAATCTTAAAAAAAAAGAGTGCTCACATCTCTGGCTACACTTGTTGAACTTTAACCCAAGTCTGACTTCTCCATCTGCAGCAGACGAGCCCCACCTCTGGATGCCCACTGTCCTTTGGGGAGGCTCCTCCCCACAGAGCCCTGCAGAGCTGCCCTGAGCACACCCCAGCTGGCACCAGACACAGCTGTGTGATTTCTGTCCTGCACGACTCTCCCTCTGGCAGGAACAGGGGAGTTGCCCCCGTCAACGAGGAAGGCGTTTAGTTGTTCCTCGAGCCCTCGCAGGACAACAGGGCAACCCCACTGTTGCCCCAAGCCCTTCTGTCCACCCCATGCAGGCAGCCCTTGTGGGTCGCCCTTGTGCTGTCACTCACTCCCTCTAAGCTTGGGACTGCTTCTCTGGGCAGGGATCGCCACCGGTGGCTGAGGCAGCAGGCAGCAGGTGCACCTGAGATGCTGTGCCCTGCCTGGACGTGGAGAGCCCCTCTCACAGCGGAGTGCATTTCCCCAAGCTCTTTAATGGCCTCCACAGGGGGCTTTGCAAACTCCAGACCTCTCTGGGTTCATTTTGGAAAGGAGAGGCTCAGCAGAATCAGATGGCGGAAACAGCCCAAACATCCAGATGAACACCACAGCACACACCCACGGTGGAACGCGACAGGGCACACGTGCAGATGCACACCACAACACGGCTGCACCACGGGAGCGTGCCACGTGAGCAAAGCCGGACACGGAGGGCAAAGAATGTGGGTTCGGCTGAGGCGAAGCTGAAGCAAGGTCTCAGGAGCAGGCCAGCCAAAGAGAGGAGTCAGGAGGCTTCCCAGGGGCTGGAGCAGGTGGGGCCGGGGTGGGACAACCCAGGGGGTGGGGCTGCTTGGGGGGGGCACAGCCACGGGCCAAGGTGGGGGCGGGGGGGGTGCTTCAACCACAAAAAGGCTTTTTTCTGAAGACTCCATTTTCTCCCAGTTTTGGAGGCTGGAGTTGGGATCGAGGTGTCAACAGGGCTAGCTGTCTTCTCCCTGTGTCTCCATTCCTCTTCTGATAAGGGCACACTAGAGCCCACCCCAGTAGCCTCATTTTAACCTACCACCTCCTGTAGAGTCCCTGTCCCCATATAGGCACACCCTGAGGTACAAGGTCTGGGGTGGGAGTGGGGGAGGGGAAGGATTTGGCCCAAACACGTGGGTACGGAATTTCTGTCTGGGACTCCATTCAATTCTCCCACGTAGGTAGCAGGCCATCTTCCATTGTTTCCCAGGCACAATAGCAGAGAGCTGGATCAGAAGCAGAGCAGCCGGGACTTCAAATGGGGCCCATGCAGGATGCCGGAGTCCCAGGCAGCAACTTAACCCGCTGTGCCACAATGCCAGCCCCACAATGTGAAAATAATTTTAAGAGAGATTCTGGATATTTGGAAACTTCTGAGTTCTTGGAAGGCAAGAGATTGGAGGTGCTGTGAGGAGTTCTTGTGCACTTCTATCTCCGAGAGAAAACTGGAATCTGGCAGGGGACGCCAGCTGTCACTGCCTCTGCGTACACGGAGCGCTAAGCTCGCTAAGCTCCTTTTGGCCATGGTGCTCCCTGGTCCCGCAACGCCCAGTGCACGGCCTCTGTGTGCCAGGCGGCTCCAGGAGGCGGGTGCAGCGCATCCTGGTCCACACCCTGGGGGCGAGAAATGCCGCTGGAATCAGCTTTCCCAGCATCTTTCAACAGCAAAGCGTTTTTCCGATTCCAATAACTGCACGTTTGTCCAGTAGGGCACACACTGGCCTGTTTCCTTTCTGGGATGTGCAGAACATGATTTGACCTTCTTGTTGTTGACTCATCGTGAATCACCGTTATGAACCCAAGCCCCACTACAGAAAGGGACCGCAGAGACCAGCTAGCTGCCATTCTGGGACGTCCAGGTGCACAGGCGTGCCTCTCCCGTGAGCTCCCATCCACCCTGGGTCCCTGCCTCCTGGCACTGCGGCCCCCACTCGTCCATCCCGTCTCACTCAGGACTGACCTCCAGCGGCAGCTTAGATAGCAGAATCTTGCTGTACAGGCCTCTCCTTGGCTCTCAGACAGCCGACATCATGGCCATGCTCCCACCCGGTCTGGGCACCAATCTCCTCCGATGGTCTTAAGTACCCCTTCCTTCCTTCCTTCCTTCCTCCCTCCCTCCCTCCCTCCCTCCCTCCCTCCCTTTCAGGCAGAGTGGACAGTGAGAGAGACAGAGAGAAAGGTCTTCCTTTGCCGTTGGTTCACCCCTCAATGGCCGCTGCGGCTGGTGCGCTGTGGCCGGCGCACCTTGCTGATCTGAAGTCAGGAGCCAGGCGCTTCTTCCTGGTCTCCCATGTGGGTGCAGGGCCCAAGCACTTGGGCCATCCTCCACTGCACTCCCGGGCCACAGCAGAGAGCTGTCTTGGAAGAGGGGCAACCGGGACAGAATCCGGCACCCTGACCGGGACTAGAACCTGGTGTGCCGGTGCCGCAGGCGGAGGATTAGCCTAGTGAGCCACGGCGCCACCCAAACACCTCTTTTTGAGAGCTGCACTCCAAGTACAGTAACCCCTGTTAGGACTTAGCATAGGAACTTCGGGAGATACAATTTGTTAGGTAGGCAGTTAGAAAATGGCCTATGTGGGTGTGAGAGGGGCTTGAAGAAACCAGTAGAAGCCCCAGAAGCCTGGCATCTTGCACTTCAAAGTCCTGCTCAGACCCTGATACCCTCACAGGTGGCCCAGCCCTTCCCCCAGGGAAAGCTCCCAGAATTCTCTCTCCTCAGGACCAGCTGGGTTCTCTGACCTGATAACACAGGTTCCTGGGGGGAGCTCTGTACTCTCCACAGACCCTTTGTCCTACAGGAGAGGCAGGGGAGGAAAAACCTGACCCTGTTCCTTTATAAGCCCCAGTCTCAACAAAGACTGCACGCTCAGCGCTCTGCTCTCTGCTGACGGATGCCCTATCCCCAATAAACCTTATCACTCTGCTCTCTGTCTCACACCTGAATTCTTTCTTGCACGTAGACAAGAACCCCACGTCTTCTCTGCGGTGACAAATTCAACCCACAAAAAAAGGCCCCTTTCACTTTTTTTTTTTGAGAAGCACAGATACAAGAGGAGAGGAAGAGAGAGTGAGCACTGGTTTACTATCAGCTGATTCATTCCCTAAGTGCCTGTGATGGCCAGGGCTGGGCTAGCTTCAAGCGAATCCAATCCAGATCTCCCATGTGGGCGGCAGGACCAAATACTTGAGCCAGAAAGCTGGAGTTAGGGGACGAAAGTGGGTGTTGGCCCAGGTATTCTGAAGCAGAGTGGGCATTCTAACCACTAGGCTTTTAAGTTTACTGTGAATCACGCTGAAGAATTGGACAGCGCTAATGGCTCCAGGAAGTTACGACATTTTTACACTCAAGACCACACAATGACAGTCTCGGTCTTACTTCTACGATGGCCAATGGAATGCGGACGGGTGGACGTGCCCTTTCGCTTTGTAAGGATCCACTCCTGGTCAGGGGCAGCGACACAGACACACCTGGTCCAACCCCCTCCTAGTCCTGTGCCTCCCTTGGACCATGCTTGATGACAGTGTGTTGGTCACCTGGGTGCTGGGGAGTGAGGTTTAAGACCTTTGTCTGGGGAAGAGATAAAATCTGTATCTGATGAGAACAGAAAGTTCTCTGCAGATACAGGAAACTCAGAACTTGGAACCTGTTACCTGGGAAAGTAGCAGACATTGGCCCAAGTACTCGGGCCCCTGCTAACCGTGTGGGAGACCCAGATGCAATTCCAGGCTCCTGACTTCGGCTGGGTCCAGCCCCAGTCATTGCAGCCATTTGGGGAGAGAACCAGTGGATAGGAACAAAATTGCATCCTATACTAGGGGGCTTCCACAAGTTTATGGGAAAATATGCTTCATATATTAACATACATATATAACAGATTTATTTATTTGAAAGAGAGAGTTACAGAGAAAGAGGGAGAGACAGACAGATTTTCCACCTGCTTTCCCAGGCACATTACCAGAGAGCTGGATCAGAAGTGGAGTAGCTGGGACTTGAACCGGCACCCATATGGGATGCTAGGCAGCAGCTTAACCCTCTGTGCCACAATGCCAGCCTCATGCATCACATCTTAATTCCGTTCTCACCCCAGTGTTTTGAAGCCACCTCATAACTTCCACCATCCACAAAGAGATATTTTTATCTGAGAGATAAAGCCCCTTTTGAAAAAAACCTAATAGCTTTGAGCTAATCATTTTGAGAAGATCACAGCTGGGTTTGTATGTTGACAGTGCCTGAGTCACTTTAATGCAAAAACGATAGACAACAGGATCGTCTCTAGAGAAAGCAGGCAAGAAAAGCTGCTTTCATGGCTGACTATGCTTGCAGACACGTGAGTATTCTGGTCCAATTCGACTGCGCTTCTGTATTGGCGGGAGTGGGCATTCGAAGGCGCAGCACCAGGGAGTTCCCCCCAGTGAAAGGCAGAACAAGGGCAGAAGGGAGCAGGGGCAGCTGCTGCAGACCCCGAGGGCTGGCGAGGGCACGCCCCTCCCCCCAGGTCTGTTCACAAACGTGGCTCTGCCTCAGCTGTCCTCTGCACCCAGAACCCCTTTTTTCCACTTCCCACACAAGGACACGGAGTGGTGATAGCCAGCAGTGTGGTCCTCCCATCCAGCCCCACAGGACACGGTGGGCGGTTTCCTGGACCTGGGGTGGGTGGTGGGGGTGGGAAGGGATAGGGGGAGAAGCCTGCCTGTCTCCTGAGATTACCACACTGCCATGATCTGGCCGAAGGAGAACTAAGCTGAAGGTCACCGTGCTGCCAGGAAGGTCCCCTGGGGCCCTTGCAGACGCCTGCCACCATGGCCAGTGCCTTCCCTGCAGTCTTTCCTAAGCTGGACGGAGCAGGTGTGTGTCCCTCCTTCTTTCCACGAACGTTCATCCGGGTCCTTCCTACTCTCCTCTTTGCTAAACGCACACTTGGGTGTTGCTTGACCTTGCAGGTGACCCGAGGTGCCATGGCGTGACTCCAGACAAGGAACCCACTCTGGAGTATTCCTCCCCACCCTGTCCAGGGCTGCCTTAAGCTGAACCCTGCAGTTTGGTCCCTGGAGGACAGCCAGGATGGGCCAGAGCCTGCAGGACCACCTGGGCCCTGGGGCTCTCTTTTTGCCGAGAGAGTTTGTGGGTGCGGCTGGCACGTGCCAGACAAGATCCTTCACCAAAGGGGCTTTCCCCAGACACTTAATTATTTTCCTTTATTCCTTCCAATACTTCCTGTGCATCCTTTCAAGACTCCATGCATCCCAAGTTCTAGCGTAAATAGCTCAGCAAGGAGTTGCTATGAAACCATGTGGGCTCTTCAAAGCCATTCACCTACAGTGTTCCACTAAGCAGCATCACTTTTGTGCTAACGGCAAGTCCGACTGCACTTCGGACACTCCAAGAATGGATTTCTTTCGTTCATCTCGGCCTTTTCTCTCCTAATCATTTCCATTTTGTTTGAAAACCTGAAACGTGCCTGTTCAGGTTGGAGGCGGAGTTTGGAACCTTTCCCTTCCTCCCTTCCTCCCATCCTTGAGCTCCTTCTAGAACTCTCTGTGTCACTGTCCCGGTGAAAGCCTCCTTGTTTCACAGCTGGAGCAATCTATTGGCCGGCTGATGCTCCATTCTCCATTGTCCAGGCACAGAGTGTCCCCCCTGCGGCTGGACAATCGCCTGTTATCTGTTCAAGGGTGGCTTTCTTTTCAGGAAAACACACCCCGGGGCCCCGCTGATAAGAACTTACCTCTGGATAGCAAGCCGAAGGGAAAGGATTCTGGCAGCTCTGGGCAGAACCAAAGCGCCTGTCTTCTTTGCTTTCTTCGTCACCGTGCACCATGCGCGCTCAGGACTTCTCTCCTTCCGCAGTCGGAGTCTCCTTCCGCAGTCGGAGTCTCCTTCCGCAGTCGGAGTCTCCTGCCGCACGATGGGAGGAAGGGGCATCAGACAACCAAGGCCAAGCACTTCTGCCTTCTTATCCCAGAGAGTGATTGCCCACAGCTAACAGGGTTATTGAAACGGTGGAATGAAGGGACATGTCTGGGTTATTTTTATACACATCAGTCTTTAAAGCGCAACACCGTGTTTCTAAAGGGAAGTGAGCAGTCCGAATCTGACAACCGAGGGAAGCACCGACTTCTTGGATGAAGGGGTTGTATTAGTCCCAGCTGCAGGGAAGATCCTGTGCTCAGACAGAACAAGGGAAGCAGCACGACAAGCGGCCATTAAGACGCAGCCCTCCCACATCGGAGGGCCTGAGTTCAAGTCTCGGCTCCAGCCCGATTCTGGCTTCTCACTAAAGTGCGCTCTGAGAAGTAGCAGGTGATGGCCCAAGGGCTTGGGTCCCTGCCACCACCCGGGAGACCCAGGTTGAGTTGCCAGCTCCCAGGGTACTTCGGGCACATGGGGAGTGAACCAGCTGATGAAAGGTCTCTGTCTCTTTCTCTCTCTGCATTTTAAATAAATGAATAAAATTTAAAAAGAAAGAAGAATTAGGGGAGTGAAACTGCTGGCTGTGAACCTGTAGGACGCCCACCACATGCCTTAGCCTCCTCACAGGGCAAGCGGTGACGTGGTCCACCCAGAACCAGGACAACTGAGGTGTGCTTGCCTCCCCCTTCAAATCCCAGTCCAGAGACTCTCACAAAGAATAAAGCGTCTTTAAGGTGATCCTCGAAGCTTTCCTGGAAAAGGAGCCCCTTAGGGCACTGACATCACGAATCCCAGCAAATCCCAACAAATCCACGTGGCTCTACCTTCTCCCCGGCTAGAAGCAAACCGCTGTTTCTCAGGCCCAGTGCCCGCTGAGGTGGCTGATTTGTGATTTTAGGATTTTACAGTTATAGGAATGCTACAGCAGAATCCCGCTGGCAGAGGCAGGAGACCAGGGCAGCCGAGGTCGGGCAGATGTGCGGCACCCAGCGGAAGCTCGGCTCTGCCCCAGTGCTGCAGACGCGCTGTGTGTGTAGACACATGGACTTGCCAGCGCTGTGTGTTTGCATTGTTTTTCCTTCTCCTATTTCTCCCCAAGTGTAGACAGTCGGTTCTGTGTCTGTTAGAAGCACAGACGGGAGGATTCTGCTGTCCTGATGAGCTCCTGGTTATGCCTCAGCAGTACCAAGCACGGGCTTACGTACAAAGGGAACCCATTGCTTACCCCAGTGAGCAAGGCTTTAGCTCAACACCCACAATGGAGTGGAAGATACAGCTCGTTAGGCACCGACCTCAGGGAGTAGCAAATTACATTCTGTCTGTCCCTGCCAAGTATGTAAAGCCAGAGGAACCTTTAAGTAATAGAAACGGAAAAGAACGTAGGATAAAAGGTCACATGGATGATTCCGCACTTGACACTTCATTTTGTACCCAGGAAATTGTTTCATATGCAGGAGTTCTAACATATCTGATTGTGCATTTTTTAATTATACAATTCACAGAGTCTTCTTCTAATTTGCAGAAAATCTTAAAAGCAATTAGAAACTCCTGACAGTTAAGCAGGGACCCAGGGCTGGCGGTTTTGCTTCTGGGAACTTGACCTTGGCTTTGAGTCCATTCAAGCACTCTTGGCAGGTCCTGGAGAATCTGGGGTTAGTCCTCAGTTAACGAAGGCAAGGCCCAGCACCTGGGCTTCAGGACTGCACTGAGCGGCCCTGAGGTCCTCTCTCCTGGGGCTAAGTGGGCAGTTGACAATTCACTGCCGGAATAACCAGGGCTCTCTCCAAAGCGCCAGGCATCTGCTGGGCCCTCTTTGCACAGGCATTGCACTGCAGCCGCCACGTGACCGCAGCCAGATGGGAGAAGGGTCTGCAGCCAGGAAACATAGCTCCGGACCCAGCCTGGACTGGGCACGGGGGAACTGGTAGGAAGATTTGAACTCCTGTTCTCTAAACATTCAGGGTTGTAGAAATAGGGCAGAGTGTGGGTTCTCTTGGGGAGTGATTTTTGCCTACAGAGGACATTTAGCAATGTCTAGAGAGTTTGGGGTGTCCTAATTGGGGGTGACCATGGGCATGCTCCCGGCATCTGGTGGGTGGAGACCAGAGATGCTGCAGAAACCCACAGTGCACTGGTTGGCACCCACAGAAAGCCCCGACGTCAACGGGGCAGAGCGAGAGCTTGCGACACCGTCATCCTCTGCCCCGGCCATGACCGACTCCCAACAGATGCTGGACTGGGGGCCGTCCAGTCTGTGAGCGGAAATAAAACCTTTCTCCTCCCAAGAACTGCCCTCACATGCTTTAGTTAAGGTAATGGAAGGTGGACTAGTGCAGCTTCGATTCATGGGGCCGTGGGCCACGTGGGAGCTGGCGGATCCTAAAGCCAATGGGTCTGTAGGGTTGCGGGTGACTGAAGAACCTTTCCCGTCTGGACGGCTCTGAGAGTCGGGGCTGGGCTCCCGGGCTCGGGGTGCAGGGGAGAAGGGGGATGGTTCCTCGCAAGGCGCCCACGGGGCAGACCTCACCTCTGAGATCCTTCCGGAAGTCTGTGGTTGTGGACTCACTGCAGCTCAGCCACTCCACCCCCCAGTCCCATGAGCAGACCTGGATTTGGGGGCAAAGATCCAGTTTGCTCCCTCACGCGCCCCTGAAGCTCTGGGTGCCACCTGTACCAGGCTCTACTGCTCTAGGTTTGGGGGGTGGGGCCGGGGGCCAGCTGATGAGATGAGCAACTTGTGGGCCATGTGTGTGCCTCGGGGTCACGACCTGGTGGGGGCAGTGATGAGTTTCGTTAGGGTCAGCAGAAAGCCAGAAGGCTTGTGCACGGGGTCACCGTGGGGACAGAAAGGGGACCTGGACCAAGAGCCTGGGTGTGAGGACGTCTGTGGTGCCCCCTCCTCTCCGCGCTCACCTGGGTAGCGCCTCAAGTCACGTGGTCAGCCTAGACCACCTACCGGGCTCGTTCGGCTTCGCTGAGCTCTCTTCTTTCCACACGTGTCTGCCACTGCTATTGGCTAGAGCCGCTCCTTCATCCGGGGAGTTTAAGTGAGCTGTTGGACTAGAAATAATGAATTAACTCAATTACTTAGGAACTCACTGTCGCCCGACTCATTAACAACAGCATTAAAAATTCATCTCATTAACCGTAGAGTCCCGAATCGAGTGTTTTGCCCACAGTGGGGGAAGACCTACTGTCCTTTTCCATGTGCCCTCCTGCTCCTGTATGGAGGTGCACAGGGAGGAGCCCGCCAGTGCCCGGCTGAAGGACCCAGGCACCCGTGCTACAGGACACACAGGCGCCTCTCCGTCTCGTGTTTCCTTCTCATGTTGCCAATGAAGGGATCAGACCTCCATCACGTGGGTGCCCCCAGAGCTTACCCTCCACATCAACCGATTACAGGAGAGATATTGGGAGACTTAAGAATTTTTTTTTAATTTATATCATTACTGCTAATTGTTAGGAAACTATTTTAAAAGTGTGGGTTCAGAGATTGGTGCTGTGGCATAGGCTTGGCCTCCATGGGCAGCACCTGCATCCCATAAGGGTGCCAGTTCAAGTCCTGGCTGCTCCACTTCCAATCCAGCTCTCTGCTATGGCCTGGGAAAGCAGAGGAAGATGGCCCAAGTGCTTGGGCTCCTTTACCCTCGTGGGAGACCGGAAGAAGCTCCTGGCTCTTGGCTTCAGGTCAGCGCAGCTCTAACCATTCCAGCCATTTGGGGAGTGAACCAGAGGATGGAAGACCTCACTCTCTGTCTTTCCCTCTGTCTTAACTCTACCTCTCAAATAAATAAATAAATAAATAAATCTTTAAAATAAATGGGTTCAAGCACTGGAAAATCACAAATGCTTTCATTTCTAAGAGGAAGCCAGGTGTGTGCTAGCACCACGTTTGCTGCAGGCAAAGACCATGTCTGGGTCATCACCCTGGAGACTAGAAATGCCTGTGCAATGCGGATTTCCACGATCTGCTGCTGTTCTTCACGTGGGCTTCTTGTTAGCGTTTCCTCTCCCCATCCATGTCCTGGTCCTGTGGAGCTAAACCCCTGTTTAGGGGTGGGGACTTTTGTTTCTCTCTCCTGGGGGAGGAGGAAAGTGGGGGATGGGAGGAAGGGGCCGCAGGGCTTCCTGTCGGGATGCAGCCACAGCACTGTGCCAGCGCTTGCCACCGACTGCGTCTCCAGGTCACCCTTCCCTTGCAGTCTGCGGTGGGGGCTGCATCCTGCCGCTGCTCAGAGCTCCTGGCTTGGCCTGTGGGATGGAGGCAGCAGAGAGCAGAGCACTCGGTGGCTCCCAGCCTAGCCTTCTTCTTGCTTGAGGCCTGTCCTTCATGTGCTGACCATGTCCTCTGTCGTCGTCTTCTTCTTCTTTTTTTTTTTTTTTTAGAATTATTTATTTATTTGAAAGGCAGAGTTACAGAGAGGCAGAGGCAGAGAAAGAGAGAGAGAGAGGTCTTCCATCTTCCATCTGTAGGTTCACTCCCTACATGGCTGCAATGGTTAGAACCGGGCCGATCTGAAGCCAGGAGCCAGGAGCTTCTTCCAGATCTCCCATGTGGGTGCAGGGGCCCAAGCACTTGGGCCAACCTCCACGGATTTCCCAGGCAATAGCAAAGAGCTAGATCGGGAATGGAGCAGCCGGGACTTGAACCGGTTCCCATATGGGATGCTGGCACTGCAGGTGGCGGCTTTCCCTGCTACGTCACCTCCCATCTTCTGCAACATCAGCTCCTCCCGTGGATGCGCGACTCTGGCTCCTGCTGTCAATGTCATCAATGTGCTGGAGGATTAAAACCAACGCCTTACCTTTCTCTCTCCCCTGCCACGATACCCTCAAGAGGTGAAGGTCGTGTGTGCTCTGTCTACTCCCCCATCTTCTCCTCATTCTTTATCGGTACAGTTCTGTTGAGATATAATCCACATATACCATGTGTTCCATTAAAGTGTATG